ACAGAGTCCTTGCTCTGTGCTGCAACTGCATTTTTTCTTTTGCAGATTGGACTGGCTAAGGACGACCAGCTGAAGGTCCACGGGTTCTAAGTGCCTGTGGGTCACAGGAGCTTTATGCAAGATTTCCTTACCATGAATATCCCACCTGTCCCTTGTCATAAGTTTAAGTCAAGGCGGTTTGTGTAATGTGAGATCCTGGGTCCACTCCTGGCTCTGGACCGGTGTAATTGGTGATGTAATAAACTGACACGAGCCCATGCTATCTCGTCTGCCTGTCCCTCATTTACCCCAGCTAACTCGGGTGCTGCCTGGAGCTAAAGAGTGACCCGTTGTGCCCAGCTCAGCCCAGGGACTCCGCATGGCTCCTCGGTCCAGCTGCGCTTCCAGCCCGGAGGATGGGAGTTGTGGTGCCTCCTGCTGTCCCCAGGCCGTGTCCTGGCACGGGGACACGGCCCTGTCCCTCGGGGCAGCGCTGGCAAAGGGATGTGGGGAAGCTTGGCTTGGAGCAAGAGTGATGGAAGAGTGACCTGGAGGCTGGATGTGTTCAGCTCGGGTGCTGAGCCCCGAGGTACCACGCAGGAACCATCCTGGGGGTTAACTTGTGACAAGGGATTAATATTGGGACTGATGTCAGGAGTGTATTTGGAGCTGAGCTTTGTGTCAGCAGCATCTGCTGCCTAACACCCTGTGCAGTAACAGCTTTGGGTTAATTTTTAATGTTTTATGTCATGTATTTAAAGTCTTACTTAAATAAAATTGGTTTTCAGAAGCACATGTGTGGTGGGTTCCGTGCTTCCTGGAGCCAGAGCACCTATCCTGGTGAGTTCCATCCTTGATGGAGCCCCAGAATACCTGTCCTGGTGGGTTGCATCCTTGATGGAGCACCAGAGCACCTGTCCTGGTGAGTTCCATTCCTCATGGAGCCCCAGAGTACCTGTCCTGGTGAGTTCCATTCCTCATGGAGCCAGAGCACCTTCCTTAGTGGGTTCCATCCCTGCTGGAGCTCCAGAGCACCTCCTCTGCGGGCAGTGGTGCTGCCTCAGAGCTCAGGTGCCACGTGGGCTCCCCTCCTGCTGGTGAATGCAGCACTGGGGGCTCTGAGTGCCTGGGGGTGTTCCCTGAGGGCACAGCTCCCTCGGTGCTGAGGCAGAGCCTGGCAGTGGGTGGGTGCTGAGTCACTCCCTGCCTGGGCTCTGTAACCCCCGTACCAGCTCTGGCTGGTGCTGGCTGTGTTCCCACAGGGCTGGTGGGCAGGGGCAGCACTGCTTCCCAAAAAACACTGTGGGGAGGAGGAGGAGACTCTGCCCCCGGTCAGGCTCTCGGGGGTTTCAGGGGGGTAGCTGGCACCCTGGGCACGTGCTCCTGCCCCTGGCAGCTCCTGGAGAGCAGGTCATGGCTGTTCACACACTGCCACAGTGACCCTAATCTCCTCATGTGCCACAGGGAGCACTCGGTGCACTCCACTGCAGCTTCCCTGGGAGACTTTGCTCTTGGAAACCGAATTGCTGCAATTAGGAACGCACACTGAGGAGATAGGTGACCTCCAGCCCTGCCTGTAGCTTGGGGAGCAGGTGCAGGTGTCCTCCAGCCCACACTAGTTTGTCCTGCAGCCCAGCACAGCTCAATCTCTGCTCTGCTGCTCCAAAGATTCCCACGTCCCTCCCTGTGCAGGGGCTGTGGGAGCACATCCATCCCGGATTTCTCCTGGCTGGCTCTGCCAGTCTGCTCACAGACACTGCCAGGAGTGCCACCCCTGGCTGGGCAGGGGTAAGAGGTTCTGGGACCACCTTCCAACCCCTCTCTGTCCTCCTGGAGCAGTGCCCAGCCCGAGCACCCACAGCTCTGACCGTGAGTGTGCATCAAGGTGCTGCCGATCCCGAGGGGCTGGCGGGGTGTCCCCGTCACCCTGACGGCTCATTGGGTCCACATTGAGCCATTAAAAGGCAGAAATGAGAAAACAATTTGTTTGTTCCTTGCTGGGCGCAGCGAGCGATCGATGGCCTCGGGGCGCTGGGGCCGCTGCCCTTCACCATCCAAAGCACATTTGTTCCGGAGCTGTTGGAGCAGCACGAGGAGACACGGAACAAGGACGTGTCCCAGCCAGGATGTCACTCCCGGGGCTTATTGAAGGAGGGAGACAAATGCTCTCTGCAAACACGTTGAGACGAGGGTCAATACAGGCAGGAGGAACTGTCGATACTGACCGAGGAGGTGGTGGCAGCAGATGAGGATTTTTTGGGGGGCTCTGGCAGTGAGTGGTGCCCACCTGTTCCGTGACACCCCAAAACGTGGGGAGAGAGACAGAGCTGAGAACAGGCTGCTTCAGGACCTGTGTCCTGGCAAAGGGCCTGACCCCCCTCCCAGCCGTGTGCTGCCCCCAACCCCAGGGAGGCACAGTGCCCTGGGGACACCCCACATGCTACATGTGTGTGCAAACGTGCACACACCTGGATGTACATATGTGGGTAGATACATGTGTATGTACAGACAGAGATATGTGTGGACACGTAAGTATATATGTATGTGTACACACACACAAATACACGTCTCTAGATATATATGTACATACACATACATGCACATGTACATACATGTATACAAATATGTGACTACATATGAACACACATCTATATGTACACATATGCATATATATGTGTGTGTATGTGTACACATATACATATGTATGTATACACACATATAGAATCATAGAATCGTAGAATTTAGGGGTTGGAATGGACCTCACAGATCATCCAGTCCCAACCCCTGCCCTGGGCAGGGACATCTCCTCACTAGATCAGGTTGCTCAAGGCTCATCCAGCCTGGATTGAACACCACCAGGGTCAGGGCAGCCACCACATCCCTGGGCAGCCTGTGCCAGTGTCTCACCACCCGCACAGGAAAGAATTTTTTTTTTACCTCCAACCTAGACTTTCCCTCCTTCAGTTTGACCCCATTCCCCCTTGCCCTGCCACTGCAGTTCCTACCACAGAGTCCCTCTCCAGCTCCTTGTAGCCCCTTCAGATATGGAAAAGTTGCTCTGAGGTCTCCACAAAGTCTTCTCCAGGCTGAACAGCCCCAACTCCCTCAGCCTGTCCTCACAGGGAGATGCTCCAGTGCTCTGACCAACTCCGTGGCCTCCTCTGGACTTGCTCCAACAGTTCCATGTCCTTCTTATGCTGAGGACATCAGAACTGTGTGCAGTATTCCATGTGGGTCTCATGAGACCAGAGCAGAGGGAGAAAAAAATAATCACCTCCTTTGCCCTGCTGCCCACACTCCCATGGATGCAGCTCAGGATTCCATTGGTTTCTGGGCTGAGCTCACACTGCAGCTCATGGAGAGCTTCAAATCCAGTGTCATTCCCAGGTCTTTCTCCTCACTGCTGGTTTCAATTCCTTCCCCACCCAACCTGTAGCTGTGCCTGGGATTGCCATGGCCCAGATGTAGGACCTGGCACTTCAGATGGATGATCTGTGGTCTCCATCCCTCTAAACACACCCATGCACACACATGTCCATGCCTACAGCTCTGTATCTGTCCCTGTGTGCACATATGAACACATGGATGTGTTTCCATAGATGCATCAGCTGTTAGAAGTCTATGCAGTATATGTTATCTATAGTTTATACTGTAGAGAATGTTATATTATGCTGTATTATTCATACACACAGAGGAATACACTGTATTATACTATCTGGTACTGTATCACACTGTATATTGTTTACTATATATTGTAACACATGAAGTTGCATATAATTACAGTAACTGTAGGTGCTTGGCCAGGAATGGATAAATAGGACAGTTATGCATTTATAGTGGAAGTGTATTTTTTTTTATAGTGTGTATATATCTAATCTACACCTACCTGTATCTTTATCTTTATACAGATATCCATAGAATTGTGGCCAATATCTACAACACATATGACTCTGTGTGTGTGTGTGTGTGTGTGTGTGTACTCACACACAGGTCCCTGGGGTTTTTTTTTGGGGGGAGGAGGGGAGTGGGTGGGTTTGGAGCCACCCTGGGGTGGGGCAGGTGTAGCAGTGCCTTTAAAAGTGGGACTGGGCAGCCCTGGAGCAACACACGCTCTGCAGACACCCCGCGACACCCTGCCGAGCTCCAGAGCCTCCAGGTGAGTCCCACACGGCTGTGGCACTGCCCACCTGGGCACCAGCTGGGGGAGAGGGATGGAGAAGGCTTGGGGAGCAGGCAGGAGGGACAGAGGGGACTTGGGGACCACACATGCCCTGGGGATGAGCACCCTGCTCCACTCTCGGCAGGGTACGAGGAGCTGGATGATGCTCTAGCTTTTGGCATCCCTGCAGGGAGCACAGAGTGGACCTCGATCCTTATGGATCCCTCTGACCTGACTGATTCTAGAGGGCTTGGGGACCAGCTAGGAGAGAGGGGAGGAGAGGACTTGGGGAGCAGATGGGAGGGATGGAGGGGACTTGGGATCCCACTGGGAGGGACAGGGGACTGTGACCTGGCCATGCCCCAGGGACGAGCACCCAGCTCACCCTCACTGAGCACATATCACAGTTCAGGGGCTGCAGCCCTTCCCCTCCCCTCCCTGCTCAG